TTGTACTAATTTTTTTTTTTTATACTAATATAATTATCCCTTAAGCCGTAAAATTTTGCAGGCAATTGTTTGCAAAATGGTTTAGAGGATTTCTTAAAATGTTAAGGCTTTATTATAAAACAATGAAAAAAAAAAAGATTTCTTTAAGTGATTATTTATCTATTTTTAAAGCCCATCTTCAAAGATCAAGAAAATCGTTTTAAGGCTTTATGCGAGTATATATATATATATTATATAGAATCTTTGATAGAAAATAAATTTTCAAGACTAGATAGATTTTATGAGTAAAGGTTAAATTTGTTAGCCATCCCCAATAGTCTAATTCGAATAATCTTTTTTTCTTTTTATTTTGTAGAGCTTAGTAAGCTTTACAAAAAAAATTCATGAGATAGCTAGTATATTAGTTTTTAGTCTTAAGCATGCTAAAATTAATATTTTTTTTAAAATAATTTTTTTATTAGATATTTGGAACATGGTTAAACATTCAGTTTAGTACAATTTAGCTTAATAAGATTTAGTCTCTTTTTATTTATAAAATTTTTATCTTCTTGATTTCGACTTTGATATTTTACTTTCATCACTAATAAAATTCTTTTATTATTACAACAAAAGGGTTTTGCCTATGAATTATATTCAGTTCAGTGTTAATAGTGTTGTTGAACTTCCAATTCTAGTGACTTTGGACATTGAAGATCGTGTGTAACTAGAGAGGTAACATAGTGATGGCAGAAAAAATTCATGATCAGATGATTTTTGATTGTTCTGAACTGTAGAATATACTATCAGCATACAAAAATTTATATAATTTAGACAGTATAGTATTATTAATGTTCATTAATTGGGTCACAATCATCTGATTGCGAATTTTTTCTGCTACCACTATGTTACTTGCAACAAGAGAACAATATTCAAGTATTAATATTCAGTATAAATTTATATTTTGCATTTTTCTTATTTCAACAAAGTTTCTTTTTGTGAAGCAGACAAAGCTATAGTACAAGATGTTCTATTATGCTGAAGTTCTTATTACTAGTAAGGGATTTTCACAGTTCACTATAAACGAGTTTCAGGAATTCACGCATTCGGTAATCTCTTTTTTTTTTTTTTCTTATACCTTTGCTACTGTATGAAATATCCTACTCTTATTAAATAATGCCGAGATGCTTTATATAAGATTAAATAATACCAGGATGTCTTATATGATATTGACGTCTTCATATGATCTAAACCTGGTGAAAAGCCTGAAGAAGGTATAAGATCATCTTCAAGCAAAACTGAATCTCGGTGAAAAATAGAATACGAGCTTATACTCAGATGCTGCCGTATGAAGAACCATGTTCTATATAAAAAGTAATTTATTAATATAGATTATTATGAGAGTATATATTAATACCCAGGTTTTATTCCGGTGCATGTTTAGAAGATACTTTATACAGTGGCAATAGTTTTGGTTTATTTTATTTACTTATTTTATTTGAAAATTCGTTACTTATTAAGTTTATTATATGCACTTAACAGATTATCATCTATTTTAATAAAGATTACAGAATATGTATACTTCTTGCATGTTCTTTTAATTGTGTAAGTAGGATTAAAATCAAATCAATATAATTTTATTATTATTATTAAAATTTTTTTTTCTACTTTAAAGCGAGTAATTATTATCATTATCATTTCTATAATTATTTTTATTCTTATTTTTGCTATTATTATCATTATTATTTTAATTGTTATTTTTATTATTATTAAAAGTTAATAAACACTATTATCTCCTCTATAGAAAAGGAGATAATATGAACTAGTTTAAAAAATAAGTGTCTTAAATATTGTATACCGGAGTTCTCTAATTTGATCGGCAAGAGCAATAACTACAAGCCTTGTTGCACTTGAGGTCTAAATAAATTCTTGCTCATTTTTGTTTGAATCACGAATCACTTTAAGTGCACCATATCTCTATGTGCTATTAATTCTACCAAGCCAACATGCATGATATATAGTTGCAAACCTCTTATCAATTCATGATAATTTAAATATTTTGTCATCTTCAGTTTAGGATTGATATAATCTGATAAGTTATTAGTTTTCAAAAGACAAATATTTCTGAAATATAATTTGCCCTATGAATATCTCTCTTTGTATCGATATCGTTTAGATAAAATCAGACTATATTATACATACTACATTATTGCCCCATATTAGCAGATCTTTAATAATATTCAAATACTTTATTATAATCTAGATCGACCCCCTCTCTATAATACCACTACACACTGACCCAACACAACCGAAATCAGCAAATCTCTTATGCTATTCGAATCTCTACTCCCAATTCATAACAATAACAAAGACCAACATCATTCATCACATCCAGTCTCCTAACTCAGCTGCTTTTATATAATATTTAAAAGTCTACTTTGTGTTCTTTTCATCGAATTTATCATTGCAACTAAAATCACAAAGTTGTTTAAAGTAGAGTTAATATACGGCTTTATATTTTGTTAAGTAAAACATAATGATTATATCTGGATACATCCAGATATAAAAACATAGTAAAGTATTAACTAGTTTGGAGTTTATTTTTACTTATAAAAAAAAAAAAAGCATTAAATAGATACAAACTTTAAATTGTCTGGAGCGTAGTCGAAAGACATTTAATGTTTAGTCAAAGTAGCACTATTAGTTCATAGTATAGGACAAAATGAAAAGCACATAGTGACATTGCAAGGTTCTAATAACAGAAATTTAATAAATTGTACCGTTAATAGACAGAGTCGCATAACAAAAGTACCTGTCAAAAAAAATAAAATATATATATCACAAGTGACGTCAAAAAAATAGTGTATTACAATACACTTGCATACAATTGTAATGAACAGAAGTTGGTCTTGTGTAATTGTTTATTAATAACAATTACTGTAAATCGGGAATCGATCAATGATTATTGTTCTAAACTAATCAGATTTTTAGGTTTTCATATAAAAAATTTATTTTTTGTAAATTCTTGCTATTCTCAACCATTTCGAAAACTGCAATAAATATTTTAAAGCTAAACATTGATTATTATAAAATTTTCAAATTTTTTAAAAATCAAACATTTAGAGCTAGAGTTAGGTAAGATTTAGTTAGATAGATAAATTATATGTAAAATTTTGTATTAAAAACTTATACTTAGTACAAAAATTTAGTACTCATAGTAAAAGATTTTGTCATCTAATTTTTACTATTGTTTTGATTACAAAATCCTGTAATCTGATTGGTGTATAGTTTTAGGGTTTTGGATTATAGATTTAGGATTTTGAATTTTTTTTTAAAAAAATTCGAAACTAGTTTTGGATTAAGACCTTTCGGAAACTAGTTTTAGATAGGTTTTGTTTTATTGCCCAACTCTAAATTAGGTTATTAGTATAATCGAATTAATTTGAAAATCAATATTTTGGGCTTCAATATTAGTATCTCTTATAGCTTTGCAAATAGTAATTGGTTATTAGTATAATCAGATTAAACTGACAACAAATATTGCAGTACAGCGAAACATTCCTAAGTGCACGCTCTATATAAATTCTCTCTAAGTGCATGGCATAGCTTGGCCCCAACTTATAATACCACTATATATTTTGCTCTTTATAAATGCACACTAATTTGTTTTTATAATAAAATAGCTTTAAGTCTCATCGTAATTTTGATTATGTAAATCCTTTACATCCTTAAAGCAATAACTCATCAGCTCAAATTTTGAAAATTTTTATAACCAGGTAGATTTTTAAAAAAATTTATATAAAATTTATATACTGTATATATAAAGCAGCTGGTCAGGTCTATTTAAAATTTCATATTATAAAAGACCGAGAAACTAATTTCATATGGCCTAGCTTTGAAATCTATTAGGTCCGTCCCTGAACTAATGTTATTACTATTTAGACAATATTTAGACAATTTTGTGTCAAAATATATTTCGGCATGAGATTATTTTTTGTTGAAATATCAAAATTCTAAATTTGACTAAATATCTAAATAGTTAACTAAATAAATACTATATGACTAAATGTTCAAATTAGCAATAGAGAGGGCTTTTACATTAAAAGTAATTATTTTTTAATTAATAGTAATCCAGACCCAAGTTATAAACATTTAGCTTAGTGAATACTAATACTGTATAAAAAAAGCACATATAATTTGTTTTAAAGTTCACTTGTTAATAAATAAGTTTTATATCTTTTATTAATTTGGATATTAGACATTTTGATATTATTTAGACATTTTAGCAAAATTTAGAATTTCAGCAGACTAAATATCAAATGTCAAATATTTCTACAAACTCACATGTACTCAGAGTTTACTACCATGATCTCATGCGCTTCATATAAGTTTATAAGTTGATAATCATATGAAATGTAGACTGTACAATATATTGATGCTAGTTTAAGTTTGTGCTATTTTTTTAAAAAAAAAGATTTATTGGTATTAGTAGTTAAAAAATGTATTAAATATTAAAAATTATCTAATTGGAAAACTCTTCCTAAATTTTTTTTCATTGCTAAACCTCTGTATTTGTACTTAGTTTTACATTGAAACCATTTTATATTTCTGAAAAATATAACTGAATAATTTTGAATTAAATAAAATCTAGGTTATACATAGTGGATCTTTAAAACTAAATGTATTTTTCAATTTCAGTAAATATCTAAATTTTTATAAGCAAAGAAAAATAATCAATAAAAATAAATTTTTTTGTGAATTACATCAAAAAATCTAAATAAATTACCATACTGCATTGCCTTTAGTACTTGAGTCTTATCAAAAAGAAAGGGTATAATATATCCATGAGTACTTAACCAAGTGTGGGCATTATACTTGGAGGGTCTTGGGGTAGGCCTTGTTATAAAATCAATTTTTAATTAATCTATCAAATCTTAATATCTTGGATTTTTAATATCTGGGTCTTATACAATTTTTTTGAGATTTTTTTTGGAATGTATCCGGGTATTATTTGAAGGAGAATATTAAACAAAAGGTACTAAAGGCAGTGCAATACGGTATACTGGGAAAATTCTCCACTTTACAATTTCACAGTATCTATCCCAATCTTTTTTATATTTATTCCTACACTTTTCTTCATCCCTAAATTCTTGATGAATTAATAATACTGCAAAATATACAACATAAAAGTATGGTATAATATCATCAAATCCTAAATAATTTTGAAAGTAGTAAATATTATCTATGGTTTGTTATTTAAAAAAATGGATTTGTTTATTAAGATATTAATTTACCACAAAGCAAACACCAAGCCCATGAAATTAACCAGTTGCCTATATTAGAACAAGATTTATATAAGCTTACAAATTCATTACAAAAATAAGCAATAATTAGAGCAAACCAAGATAATTTATATGCCTTGCTCTTTCCCACCATCCAGATATAATTAATCTTAAACCAGCCTTAGTTGTTATATATTTTAAATCTGTTTCATCATAACCATAACATTATTATTATTGATTTCACTATTAAACTAAGTATAACAAACAGAATGGATAAAAAGAACATACACTTAACTCTCGGATCTTTGGGATTATTCCTAAATAATCCTTTTCACATATATAATGGCTTGCAGACAAATTATAAATATAATTCGGAGCCGAGATAAATGAACAGGATGTAAAGCAAGATATCTTGCCTAAAATATAAAAACCCAACCTATGTAAAATTTCTGAATGACAACATCCAATCAAAGCCATCTGTAGTGATACCCATCATTGTTAAAACTGCAGGCTGATATAAATTTAAGTGATAATATAAAATAATTTAGTTTATAAATTTGAAAAATATTCCATATCGGTTGATTTTTGGAATTAGGGCCTTTTTTTGATCTGCAAATCATAATATAAATTTTAAAAAAGGCTACCAAAAATTCTAAAAATTACCCTATTTTAAAATATCAAAACATAAAAACAAATAATAAATCTTATATATTCGCATTAAAACCCATGAGCTAATTACAAAACCCATGAGCACTAAAAGTAATATTTTGTAATTAATATAAATTATTCTTTAT